GGAAACCACAGATCTCACCTGGTCCAGGGAGGAAGGGAAGGAGTGAGGCTTCGGCACTGCCTCCAGCACCTCCTCCTCCACCCTGAGGCTCCCCCCCCCCACTCAGATTCTAACTTCACCTCTGTCCCTTCACTTGCAAATGTGAAAGCATGAATTATCAAACACATAGCTCCAACTCCAGTTTCCCTCTCAGAGCCACTAGAGCTATGTTCTGGGAGATCTTGGTTCACTTAACCTCTGTCTGCCCTTGTCTTTTTCCCTGTCAGCCTTTGTGTATCCGGTTCCCCACCTGGAGCCTACGTCTCTTACTTCCCCCAGGTCTCTTGGTTCATTCTTCCCACCCCCAGGACCACCTCTCCCTTTCCAGCCCTCTGCCCTCCCAACCAACCACTTTCCTCGCCCTTACCCTGCCCTGCCATCCTAATTACCTGCATAACGCAGGGGGGCATCCTTGTCCAAGGCAAAAAGTGGTGGATTCAGCAGTACAGTGTTGTCATTCTCCATGACGATGCCCTGATATTCTGCCTCAATCCATGGCTTGTGTTTATTGGCTAACCACAGAGAAAGGAGGGGAAGTACCTGTGAACTGGGCCTCCACTCCCAAAATGGCTCTTGATGACCCAGGCAAACTCACACCCCAGTACCATCACCCTCTCCACCTCCTGCAGGAACACCTTGCATGAGGACAAGGAGGAGGATGAAAAATTAACTATTAAAGGAGTCAGAGGGTCTGTAAGAGGTCATATCCTTCTATAGCAGGACAGATGGTCTCTACGGCTTCTCCCCCCAGGGTACCAGGGTCAGTTGGAGAACCTTCTTTAGGGATATCAAGAACTGGACAATGGAGACTGGGGAGTCAACGAGCAGCGGTGGCCACCGAAAGGGCCCTGGGAAAATGAAGGGGGAGATTAAAGGCAGAGTTGAGATTTTTAGAAAAGGAGATGTAGAACTTTCCTGAGGTCTTGTTTATCTCCCATCCCCACCACCCATTCCCACCCAACTTCATTTCCAATCCTGTGCCCTTCACTCTTCATTGCTCCCAGCCAAGCACCAACCTAAGGTCATTCTCCCAGAGCAGAGGGAAGAAGAGATATAGGACAGAGGGAGGGGGACAGAGAAGGGCAGGGATGGAGCAGAGGAATCAATGCCAAATGCCTGAACCCAGCAGAGTCAACATCCTAAGGGATTATTGAGCTGGCCTAGAAACACCACAAATCCCCTCCCTGCTTCTCACCCCCACACTCCAAAGAATACACTCATAACTAGTACATTTCTATGTCCCCTACTAAGCCACTAAACTCCACACTCCCTGAACCCAATATTTTATACAAACCCATGTTTTAGTCCTAATTCTTGCCAACCCACCACTCTTCCCTTCAGCCAATTCTGGGTGGATGGTAAGACTCAGCCTCCAGATTTTTCCACACTCTACTAATCACTTCCACCCTCCTAAGGCACAGTGTTTCTTGATATCTTGGCATGTTAGCTCCCCTTCCATATCACTCCCAGCCTCTGCCTCCACTGAGTACTCTATCTGGTCCCATCATGAATAGCTCCAGACTCTCAAAGCACATTCATGACAGCACATCAGCAGGACATGGGTATCACCAGAGGGAAACAGAGTCACCAAATGCCAAGTTGTTCATAGTATTCATGGTGAGCCAAAAAAAAACCTTATATCCAGTCTTTCCCCTCATCCCCACACCTCCCCCACACATATACCACAAAAAGCCTTCTGGTATCTGAATGCCTGCCCCTTTGATACTGATGACCACCACAACCCCTGTTCCTGATAGCCCAGGAGAAAGCCACAAGATGGTGCACAGGAGGCAGAACAGGAAGTGGCAGGAGACTTAGAAGCCAGGCTGAGGTCAGAGATGGAGGCAGGAGCCACAGCCAGGCCAGGTGGAGGAAAAACCAGTCCAAGTGAAGGGGCTGAGACACAGCAAGGGCAGAGCCAGGCACCTTCTCTACACTTCTCCCCTCCATCCCTGCTACCCTCTCCCAGCTTCTAGACCTCTCTCCAGCTCTTCTTCTTTAGCCCCTACTTCCTTATATCCATTTCCTTTCACTCACTTCTAAATTCCCTGTCTCTTACTTCCATGATTTCCCCCTCCTCCTCGTTCCTGATTTTCCTTTCCTTCTCCTTTTTCTTTCTTTTCCCACATTTTCCCTCTCCCATCCCCTTCTTATCCCACCATCTCATACCTCATCTTTCTTCTCAGCTTTCCCTCTCGCCTCTCCTTCAGTGCCCTCTCACACCCACTTCTGCCTCTTGCTGGCTTTCTTCATCTGCTTCCACCTACCTGAGCCCTCTGCCCCCAGCCCCCTCCTCCTCCTCCCTCCTTTCCTCCCTCTCAGCCCTCTGACAGCCTCACCCAGCTGAATTTATCTGCTGTCTGCAAGAGAGGGTAGCTCTGGTAACCCACAGGCCAGCTGTGTGCAGGCATCACAGAATGGATGCAGAGGAACACACAGAAACAAACGTGCTCCGAATCACTGAGCTGCAAGGAACAGTTTCTCCTCTGGATGGGATAGAGATGAACCATATGGATGGAGCTGCTACACACCCTTAGTGCATGCACACCCCAGTGAAAATGGAGCCACCGGGGAGGTGCATGTCACTGCTCAGGGATGAGTCCTCTGAGACTTGAGATCCTTACCAGCATGGAGACACTGGGCAGGGATTGGAACAGATAAGAGACCCCCAACATGGGATGGTGACCACATAGGGCAAGATGTCCAACAAGAGAAACACATAGGTAGAGACAGACCAGAGAAGAGGATGTAGTGAAGGAGATGCTGAGGGAGAGGAGAAGAGGGCAGGTCTGAGAAAATGGATGGGAAGGGGGATGGTCAGAAGAGCAGACACCTGTCATGTGCCAGACAGAAAGCCTCAATGCCTCCTGCCCCTTGCCCCCACATCCCTCTGCCCCTGCCCCTCTTTCAGGGTCCCCCACCCCAACCTCACTCACCTTTGTTACAGGAGCTGAAGGGGAACAGGGAGGCCAGCAAGAGGGGCAACAGAAGGAGGGTCATGGTGTGGTGGCTGGCAGTGCAGGGCTGAGATCCGCTCTCCCCTGGGAATCTCAAGCCTGCGTGTTCCACCTTGGGGGAGGGATGCAGGGGCTCTCCACGAAGGGCAGGAAAGACAGAGGGTAGTAGGGCAGTGACTGAGACGAGCCTGCCGTCCACACTAGTCCACAGTGCAGACCTGGGCAGACCCCAACCTAAGTGGCTGAGGTGGGGGACTTGCAGCGGCTTCTACACGGTCCCTCTCAAGCCCGGGGTCCTCACTCTCTCTCGCTCTCTCTCTCTCTCACTCCCACCCCATCCCCGCTACTGCAGAATGACGTCAGCACAGCCAGGCACAGATTGATGGGGCTGCTAGCCAATCGAGTAAATGGGGGGGCCAGGTGCTGCAGGGGGGCAGGTGACCAATGGGGCTGGGGAGCAGGGGTGGGAGAATGTGGTAGGGCTTTTTTCCCCTGACTGCAATTTGGGGGAGCAGGGAAACTGCGGGTACCGGAAAGGAAGCTGTAAAGTCATAGAGGGGTGGGAAGTATGAGGGACATTGGGAGAATCAAGAAGCTGGAAGCCAGGGACAACGTCAGTAGAGACCTGAAGAGGTGGGGAGAGGCAATATACACGTCACACCCTACAACTCTGCGTTAACCCCTTTTCACAGTCCATTCCATCAGCAAGTCCCTGCGACTATGACGTGCCTCCTGGGTACCGTGAAGTAGCATCCTCCGCCTCAACCAGAGAGACCCTGACATGTCAGTCCCCATCAGGGAGAAGGGCACTGGGATTGGAGAAAACATGAGCTATTTGTAGTCCCTTCACAGCCACCTGTAAGGACAGTTCATCAGCAACTGGGATGTCAGGCCCTGTGAAAACAAACCCACTGCACCGTTGTTTGTTTCACTGTCCACCTTCCCAGCCTCCTCTCCAGGATTTCCCCTCCCAAACCACAATGAGCCAGCACAACTAATTCTGAAGCTGAGAAAGCTGGTAGGCTTGAAAGATCCTGGGTAGTTGGGGGGGGTGGGGGGTGGGGGGTCTGACAGCCCTCAGCTGCCCATTATCTTTCATTTAGGCAGAGACACCCAGAGAAATACTTTTATGGTCTCAAGGACTTAGAGTCATAACAATGATGCTTCCAGAGGGAGAGAGAAACACCTGGGTTTCAACCAAAAGAGTAGAAAATTCTTGGGAACAGCCAACCAAACTCCTCCCCCACCTTCTGCTCTGGACTTTGAACTCTAACTCAACATCCCCCTGTGCTTGGGAAGAGCAGTTCTTCTGGCACCCATCCCCTCTATCCATTCTCCCCTCTTCCCAGTGGCTCTATAGAGCAAAGAGTTGGAACACCAGCTCAGGGAAGGTGCCTGAGGAGTTGTGGGGTTACAGGATTTTCTTTGCTATGGCTCCTGACCAGCTGGCTCTCCCTAATTCCTCCTCGTCACACCTTTCAAGAACCCTGATTCAATGTCAGAAGCTCAGATATTGTTAGAATTCATCCCTGGAAGGACCTGTGAGAACCCTCTAGCCCCCATAACCAGCCTAGTATCTATCTCCCAGGAAAGACTGCCTCTGAGGGCTCTGGGACTCTTCCCAGACCTGTCAGGAGGATGAATGAGGTGGAGGCCAATACTGACCTGCGGAAGTCTTGGATGCCTGACAGCTCAGGACCCCAAGCCCCTCCGGGTTCCTTCCTCAGGAAAAGCCAAGGTCAGACACAAACTCGCTAAGATCCTGCCCTTCCTTCAGGCTGCCCAGCTGGACACCAGCTCCAAACTCACCATGAGGGGAGGGAGAAAGTCCAGTAGGGACTCTTATTGCAACAGGGCTCTAGCTCTATCAAAGTCCTGGAAAGCATAGAATTTTCACAAGCCTGTTTCCCGATTCTGGGAGGGTTACTTGGAGACTGTCAGCCCAAGCTGCCAGACAACATTCCCTCTCTTCTCACCTTGTGTCCATCTTGGCTTACCTAAACAATGCCTCCCAATCTCACCGGCTACTACCGCTTTGTCTCACAGAAGAACATGGAGGACTACCTGCAAGCCCTAAGTAATGGCCTTACCCACCCCAAAACCCCTTTCACTCCCCTTCCTGCCTCTCAGTCACATTTGAGGTTGGACACTGTGGTAAGGCCCCAGCTGCTGACACCTGAGTTGGGATCCATTTCTAACCATGGCCAATACTTAACCAAAACCAATGGCCATGGAGTGGATCCGACTCATGACGACCCCATGAGTGTCAGAGTAGAACTGCAGTGACCTGAGGAGGCTCTCCAGATGGATTCAAACTGCCAGGTTTTTGTTAGTAGTCCAGCACAGGGCAATGCTAGAATGGGGTAGATCCAGAATTGGAGGCCCAGTCAGCTAAGAGAAAGCTCACAGCCAAGAGGTGCTGTGGTGCTGGGGGAAGCTCACAAGGGCTGAAAGGACATTTGCTAAGAGATGGCCCCCCACAGATATCAACATGGCTCTGCGGAAGATAGCATTGCTGATGAAGCCAGACAAGGAGATTGACCATCAAGGCAGCCACATGACAGTGAAGACTCTCAGCACCTTCCACAACTATACTCTGGAGTTTGAGGTGGGAGTTGAGTTTGAAGAGAACCTCAAAATGGTGGATGGACGGAAATGCCAGGTATGTTTCCTCAGACTCTGGGGAGTGGGTGGATAAGCAGATGCCTCTCAACAATTTGGGGTAAAATAAAGTGACCTCTTCCTTTATTTTGAAAAGAAACCAGGGAAAATGATGGCCATAACAGGCTGTGTAGTCTTGGGACTATCAGCCTCCTGGTGCTCCCTCTGCTCCCAACACACACACACACACACACACACACACAC